TCATCCTTTAAACATTTGAAAAATGTTAAGCATCCCTACAATTTGTTCATTGGAGCATCACTAGGTTACAGGGTTGGGTGGACCCAGGCTCCTCTGGCCTGGGCACTGGTCATCCATTATCACATGACACTTTAGAGATGGATCTGATAATGGATTTGAGGAGAAACAGCACCCAGTGGCAGTTCTGCATTTCTCACAAATCTGTGGAGATTTTTTTTTTTCTGCTCTCAAGAGCTAATTCTTGATCTCTGGGCGTGGAAAGGAGTCTTAGGGTCAGGCCAAGTTCAGAGACCATTTTATAAAGTCTGTTTCATGGTTTTGTTTACAGTGAAAGCGACTATCACTAATCTCCCCCAAATCACCCCGCCCCAGTTCCTGTGCACCGGCTTTACGGTTCTTGCCATTTTCCGGAGCGGTTCCTGAAGTCCTCTTTGATGATGTCCTTGGCCTGCAGTGCTGGCTGCATCCACACCCTGGGTGGGTGCAAACCATTGTCCTTCGGGGGTCGTTTTGACTTTGGGGAGGAGCCTGCCTGAGGTTGCACCGTGAAGGGTCCAGTGAATCAGCTGGATGAAGACTCTCCGCCACACTTATACCAGCCTGCTTTTCCATGGGATGTCGCATGGCACTCACACAGTTTGATTATGTGTCTGAAAGACAACACAAGAAAAAGGACTTCCAGTCCTGCTTCAGGAAGTGGCGAGGGAGGACTGGGAGGACTGATGCCAATGGGTCGTGACTGTAATGAATTTTTAAAACATTTTAAGTGTAAATGTTCGTGGTGGGCTTCAATCCCCTGTTGCAATCACACATCTTTACCTGTAGATTTCTCTCTCCAGCAAATACCTGGCTGCAGAGCCTGTGTCTTAGGAACAATACTTTCACTCCAACTGTGAAATGAAAGCAATTAGAACCAACTGTGTGCACCCTGCAAGCCTGAAGTCTCTTTCCTATATGTTCATCCAGAAAGTCTCAATTCTCAGGCATTGTTTCTAAAATTTATTATTATTTCTTCTTCTTCTTCTTCTTCTTCTTCTTCTTCTTCTTCTTCTTCTTCTTCTTCTTCCTCTTTCTCTTCCTCCTCCTCCTCCTCCTCCTCCTCCTCCTCCTCCTCCTCCTCCTCCTCCTCCTCCTCCTTTTAAAGATAACCCTTCCATCTGTCACCTTCTGGGAGAATCCGCTTAGAAGGAAAAAGCAGTCCTGCTGTTAACAGGGAGCACAGACCTTTTTCGTGTATCAGTGATTGGCCTGTAATGCAATCGTGAGTCTGGAGGGGTAAGACTGCCTTTCTACTCCTTTAGCCTGCTGAGCATGAAAATGTCTTCAGTGTTTCCCAGTAACAACATAAATAGTGCCCGTCTGGACAGAGTTGGCACATTAACCTGTGGCCATTTGGAGGTTATTTAATCTAAGGCAACCAGCCACGTGAGCCCAGCCACCCCCCGCCCACTGGCCCTGGCACACCTTACCCTGGGTGACATTTGAGCTGAGGAAGGTGCCTTTGGGAGCTCATGTGCTGAAGACAGGAGGTTCAGTCTTTCTCAGGAAATTTCAATTGATTCTTCAGTTGCACTATCATTTTTTACTATGAAGATACTTGTGTTTAGTCTTACACAAAAATTTAGCTACTGTGTGTCTGTGTAGTCAAACATGCTATTTTTTAAAAAACCCAGGGTTTATCCATCTTTGTCCTTGTTGATATAAATTGTAATGATTTTATTAGACTAACAAAATAAGCCCAGGTACTGGTCATCATTACAATGTGACACTGAAGAGGTGGCCTTTCAAAATGTCTTATACTTAAGCTTCCCAATATTCCCCAAAATATTGCTTGGTGACAGCGGCTTTTTATGTTAGGAAAGATCAGGACTGAAAGTGTGTTAGATTCAACAGATGGTGCCGAGGATGGGTGGAGAGCGGAGGTCAACAAGAGTCCCAGCTGCAGATAGTGATTCCCAGCAGAGGAAGCCGATGGGTGAGTGTGTATGTGTGAGTGTGCCTCTGTGTGTGTATTATGTGTGTGTGTGCACTTGCGTGGTCACACAGAGGAAGAAGCAGGTGTACAGGGGACAGGTACAGCAGTAACCTAGGATCTCCCCTGCAGGCCCCTGTCTGTAGCCCAAATCAGGAGGTGGAAGGTGTTAGACAGCTAAGCAGAGCAGCTGCCGAATGGGAGACACAAGAGGGGGAGGCTGGAGGAAGGGCTTGGAAAAGTTGGCAGGAGCCAGGGTTGTGTGGATATAGGCGGGTGACACAGCAAGAGGAGGGCAAGCTACAGCCTAGCTCAGCAGTGTCATAGAGGGATGCAGAGTGAGCAGAAGGTTTGGCAGATTTCAATGGCAACATGAAAGCACTGTGGTTAAAAAGGGCTCCAGTTAAAAAGGAAGCGCCTATTTGCTCTAGCATGAAGATATGCATAGGTATCATATGCAGCAGCACTTACTGTGCTAATAAAATCACCCCAAAGTTCACTGAGCTTCATTTTTGAAGACTTTCATGTAAAAGAAAAATTTTCTGAATGGATAATAGGAAATCTATAACAAGGTTGATGGACATAAGAGCTTTCACACTTGAAATTAAATTTAGAAATATTGTTTACAGTGAAAGCGACTGTCACTAATCTCCCCCAAATCACCCCGCCCCAGTTCCTGTGCATCGGCTTTACTGTTCTTGCCATTTTCCGGAGCGGTTCCTGAAGTCCTCTTTGATGATGTCCTTGGCCTGCAGTGCTGGCTGCATCCACACCCTGGGTGGGTGCAAAGCATTGTCCTTTGGGGGTCCTTTTGTCAAATGTGCCAAAAAACACACAAAAGCCAACAACTCCAGCAGGCTGATTCAGAAGTATGTTCTGCACCCTACTCCCCAAATTCTGGTATTCATCCTTGACACCCAGTGGCCATGGGGAGGTCACAAGTGGCCCCTTCCCACCCTTGCCCGCTTTCTGTCAAGCTCAACTTGGTTAAACCTCTGAGAGACGCGATTCTAACTGGTCCCTTCACACAGCCCGTGGTCTCCACTGATGCTGCCTGCAATTGTGTGGTCCACGATTTGTTCCTGGAACTCCCGGTGCTCAGTGCCTTTCTCTCTCGGTAAAATCACCCTCAAAGGACACTTCCTGTAGCAAACCTCCTGTCCTGGACTCACTTCATTTTACTGTTATCTCTCCATGAGCTTGCCTTGCATATACTGTTTCTCTTTGTCCTGCTGATCAAGTGGAATTGAGAGCAATAAGTGTGTCGTCTTTCATGAAAATCTCACCATTTTAGGATTTAAAGACATGGTGGAGCTCACAAAGATACAGTGGAAGATGTGGCTTATTAGTGTATTAGTAGCAAACATATACATATATTGTGTTCAGGGCCCCCAAACATTTATATTGAATCCCATTCCAATTAGAGAATTTACTGCCATTATTTGTTAACTGTGGTTTTTTAAAAAGAGTAAGGTAGTCTTTGTGTTTCTTCATCTGTTCATCCATTCACCCAGCACTCATCTTTACCATCTTCATTAGCATGATGTGTTTTGCAAATTTTAAGTAGTAGTAGGGACAAAATAGCTAGAAAGAAAGAAAGAAAGAAAGAAAGAAAGAAAGAAAGAAAGGGAAAATATTCTGTATTTACTAATGAGACTTGTGGTGAGAAGGATGACATGTATACAAGAATAAGATTTGTGTGTATCTATTAAATTCACATGAAACACTGTCAATAGTTTCCTTCTGTATAAAGAAACAATACCTGTTATAAATACTTAGAAAAAATAACAAATTTTGGTGTAGTTCAATTTACATCGCTCACATCATCTTTAAAAATTGGAAGTTTTTTTTCTTTTTCTCTAAAGCAGTGGATTAAAATCCATCCCTTTGTTAGGCAGAGTAAATAAACACCTTTGGAAGATCTTCAGGCTAAGTAGTCCATCTTTCTTAATTTAAAGATAAATTAAGTGAAGCACAGAGATCTTACATGACTTCTCCAAAATATACAGTTGATATTGGAGATGGGAAAAATTTCAGTAAAGAAGTTATTAACACAATATTGATAGTAATCACAACACAGTGTGAAATAATATCAGCGGCAAGCTTGATTTACTTTCAAATTCAAAAATACAAGCACAAATCAAAGAGCGGAGAGGTTGAAGATCACAAGCTGCGTGATCTGAATGAATGAGGAACAGGATGGCATGGAACAGCCATGTGCTTCGTGTCATTACAGTGCTTTATGTATGGGGCCATTTCCTGCTCCTGCAACACATTTTTTAAAATGTTAGAGCATAACTAAGCTACTCTACGTGATGCACTCATTTAAAGGGACACACATAGGAGGAGAAAGGAAAATCCAAGTGCCCTGAATTGTCCCTTTAGCATCACCTGCACCCTCTTCCCAGCCTCGGTAGGCAGCAAATTTTGTCATATCTCTTCATCGCCGGAGTCACAGATCCCATCCACACAGGGACACAGATCTCCCCAAACGCTGCAGGCTGTCCGGACACCCATCAGTCATTAACCTGTCCTTACTGTTCCCAATACTCATGGGAGGAGTCCTGGAGTCTGGGTGCACATTAACCAGAGCTGGTAACAAACTTCTCAGCAGAAGTGCGCTTCATGAGAGATTGGTTCTGAACCACCAAAACTGTCCCCACACATGGGGTTAAGGACTGACAATCCCAGCCACTCACCTGCAGTCAGATTTTAAAGATGATGCTACAAAAGAAATTCATTTTATGACTGGTAAAAGTTTTGCATCAAAGAAGCCAAGGAAGGTAGGGCTTTCAAAGGCACATGAGTGTTGTTTACATCTGGACAGAAAGCACTGTTACACTCAGTGGTGTTTTGCTGATGCTCTGTAAACTGAGGAGCCAAAGATTTTGTGCCTGAGCCCAAAGAGTTAACTGGACTTTGAGGTGCCATGAGCTAGCTTTGGTTAGGTGGATTCTGTATTCTTAGACTCCAGTTCAATAAAAATGTAAATGTTATCTGAGTACACATATTTCATGGTGATAATGAATCCGTTGACATAGTGTTCATACTTTATTATATAAATTTTAGTAATACATTTGCCAGAGAAAAAAATGAATACACAGAGAGAGATTCTCGGTGCTCAGTACTTCAACATGCCTGGGTTGGTCCGCACATGCCCGCTTCTGTCCTTGGTGTAGTTTGTGGGCTGCCTGTATTTAATCAATCAGGGCACTGTGGACGCTGGGAGGGACACAGCAGCAGCCTTATTGACGCAGCTAATCTAACTGGGTTTGAAATAGGAACTAGGAAAGGGGTTATTTTTAAACCAAAACTCATTGATGTGTCAACCCGTGTTGAGCATGATTACTTAGATTAACAATCATGAGGAGTATCCAGTGCAGGAGAAGTCCAGGAAAGAGGAACAGATTGGGAGGCCACAGGCGGCCCACAGGGTGGCACCCAAGGCCACAGACTGCAGGCATGTGGGCCTGTGAGTACTCTTGGGTACAGTATTCCAGCTTTTTAATTTACAGGCCTGGAGACCAAATGAGAATCCCTTTGACTCTTGTTCAAAAACTGTTAGGAATTCCAAGGTGGTGCTGCTAGCAGAATCCTACACCCAGTGACACACCAGCCAGCTGGCCCTGCCACTGTGAGGATGGAGGGCTGCCCTCTAGCGTTGCAGGGGAAACAAATTCTCCTCACGCCTCTCCTTCATTCCTTTGACTCAAAGCTTCCACTGCTGGTTTTCCTGCGCACTTTGTCACAAATAAATGGACAGAGTAAATTTATGGGAAAACCCCCTTTATTCCCCATTCCTTATCCTTGCTAGCAATCCTGCTACCCAAAGGTGCAGAAATATACTTGAAGACTCCTTGGGGCCCCTTTAGTGACCCGAGCATGTATTTCATCGTTTTGTCTGGACACGAAGGAAGTTTTCCATTTTACTCCACGCCATTTAGGAGTCACGGTTTTTTTTTTCCTCTTTTTTATTTTTTTACCCTCTATCCAAATGGAGAGTGATATGAAACATTTGAAGGCACACTTGGTCTCGCTGATTCTAAATCCCAACAGAATAACAGTGACCCGTATACTAGCCCACACATATTTTGCATGACACGTAAAACACTGACAGGGACCCCATAAACATAAGCATCAAAAACAAAACAAAATTTGAACAAAAATTCAGAGACGCCTGACCTACCCTTGGTTTTTACATTATTATTTTTTTTTCTAGGACCTCCGTCTATGATGACACCATTTAAATTGTAGGGGAGAATTGAGGAGGGGGAGGAGTGTGGGTTTTGTTTCTGTTTTGATCTGTGTAGTCCTGCTTTTCCCAAGACACTGGAAATTCCTTGGAGGGCTCTAGAATCCTTGTCCTTTTCTCTTGAACATCTGGTCCATGACAGGCACAAAATAAATTATTTGCCAAATAAACTGATATGGGAATGAGTGTTTAAAAAAAAAAAACAAACTCCTGTAAGAGTCAAATGTAAAGTCTTCATGCAGAGGGCCACTAATTTTGCCATCATAGTTTAACAAAATTTCCTAAAAGTCTTCCAACAACCCGACCTACCATAGAGGGAGAGAGCCTGCGTGCCGTGGAGATGTGAACATTAAAAATATTTGCCTTTCTCACTGGAAAGAAAAAAGTAATTAAGGGCTTACTTTTTTCCTCCTAAGTCTCGCAGCTCTTTCCCTATACAGTTAAGTTACAAGTTATTATTATTAGTATTTTTTGCTTCTTGTGTGGGCAGACATTTATCAGCACAAGCTGTGAGGAAACAAGAGTTGCTGAGATGAATAATACTATGTTGGGAGCCGGGAAAGGACCGGAAGGCAAACTCCACCCACCCGGAAAGACCCGCACAGGGTGCAGGCAAGAGAGAATCCCAGCCAAGGACAGCGGCCAGTTGCCCACTCAACTGGGTTTCCTTGGAGGGATGAGGCTCTGGATATTTATAAGTCCGACTCATCAGTGTTGTCTGTTATTGGAGCGCACTCCCAGAACCTCCAAGAAAACGAAAATCTGGCAGTAGAGTAATCACATTCTCTAAGCCAAAGGAAAGCACCATTTCCGATGAGAGGGTCTGGACCCAGGAAAGGCTGAGACCCAGTTCCTGGTCGTGTTCAAGCGTGGGTGTTGTTTGAGGGTGCTTAGGGAGGTGAGTCCTGCAGACAAAGAGACCCAGCACAAAAGAGTTAAACTTAGCTGCCAGGGCTGGAGGACAAACACAGACAGAGGATCCCAGGGCCACCAGGGGAAGCCAGCATCACTGCCTCCTCCACTTCTCTCCCTCCCCCTGGAAGGAGGGAGGGAGGATGGACTGGCAAGACGGTCCTTCCCAGGGCCCCGGCATCAGAGACTGGACTCACCAGTCTCTCCATCCTGCCCTCCTCCTCTTCGGGCTCTCTCACGGTCTGCAGAGGGGAATGACCCACGATCCAACCTTTTCTTTCTAGATCAGGTAGTCCTCAAGTGATGCCAGAAGTAAAATCCCCCAAAAGGTTCCAGGTCTATGTCTCCATGTATGCTGTGGGTCCTTGGCTTCCCTTTCCCTGCCTGCGAGGGGGACAGGGCAGCCCGGGTGGCAGAGGGAGGAGAGAAGAAGGTCCCAGGATTGATGACAGGGCAGTCCGGAGTGCCCATGTCTGCTGCAGGGGACACAGGGGCAGCTCGGGGAGAAGGGAGGGCAGCTAGTCTTAGATTCCCGTGACAAGGCTGTGGGAAGAAGGTGGGGTCTGGGAGGCTTTTGCCCTGACAACGACTAAGGTCAGACCTCCAAAGGGTAATGGTGTTGTTTTGTTTTTCTTGGTACTGAGGATCCAACCCAGAGCCATCTCACTGAGCCACACCCCCGTACTTTTTAATTTTGAGACAGGGTCTTGTGAAGTCACTAAGTAGTTCAGGTTGGATCTGAACTAGTGAGCTTTTGGAGGTCATGGATGAGACCTCCTGGCTTCCAGGATGAGACAGCCTACCCTCCCCGGTAGGTGAGGAGGGGACACTGTCCTCACAGAAGCTTGGCTCTCAGTTCTAGGTGGGTCTCTCCTGTGTCCTCTGCCCAGGGCCCAAGGTGACCTGAAGAAGTGAACTCTAGCCCACTGGGCTCACACCAGCGCTGGGCCAAGCTCCTTAGTGCCCTCAATGCCATCCCAACGGGGTGGGGTGGGGTGGGCAGAGGAGACTCAATGAGGCAGGACTATACAGAGAGTACCCCATAGGCCTTCTACACTGAAAACTGAGGCCCATGTGGCCCTGCAGCTCCCGGAAGCCTGCTCCCCAACAGGCAGGGGAACGCCAGGCAAGACGGTGCGTTGCTGGGGGCTGCACTCCTGCAAGGTGCCCATGACACAGGAGTTAGGCAAGAGCCCACTGTGCTCCACTACAGAAGAGGAGACAGGGAGCTCCTGCCACTGCGGGGAAGGAAGGAAGGCAGGAGACCCTCTTCGGGGGCGCTCCCAGAGGGTGCAGAGGAGGAGGTCCTCTCTCTCACCCAGTGCCCCAGCGCGGAGCACTGCTTGGGCCTAGGCCTTCCTGCCACGAGCTCTAGACAGTGTGTGGGGGCCCCGACCCTGCACCCGGAAGAGCGCACAGGGGTCTGGCGGTTTGCTCCCTGCCAGTAGGCACCCTCGGAGGTGGAGAAGTTCGGGGGGCGGCGGAGGGCAGAGGGGGGTCGCCCCTCTCCGCATGCGCCCTCGCTGCGCTCTGAGTTAGTGAGGAGGCGGGGTCGCCCCCCAGCCCGCCCAGCTGTTGGGCCCCCCAGGGCGAGGGCGAGGGCGAGGGCGGGAGGGTCCGGGGGCGCAGCGCGGCCTTCGGGGGGCGGTGGCGACGCGGCCCAGCGCGGGCGGGGGCGGCGGGGCCGTGGCACGCGCCCTCCCGCTTGGCGGCGGCGGCGGCGGCGGTGTCGTTGCGGAGCCGCCGAGTCTCCCGCCCGCCCGGCGGCGTCAGCGCCCAGCCCGGCCCCGCCCGCCCTCCCGGCCGAGGCCCCTGCGCAGCTCCGGGCGCGGCGCGGGGGCGGCACCTGGCGGGCGGCGGCGGCGGCGGCGGCGGCGGCGGCGGCGGGAGCGGCGCTGCCCGGGCCGGGCGCACGGCGGGCGCCCGAGCCGAGCCGCCCGATGTGGCAGGAGGCGATGCGGCGGCGCCCGTACCTGCGGGACCGCGCCGAGGCGGCGGCGGCGGCGGCGGCGGGCGGCGGCGACGGGCTGCAGCGGTCCCGGGACTGGCTGTACGAGTCCTACTACTGCATGAGCCAGCAGCACCCGCTCATCGTCTTCCTGCTGCTCATCGTCATGGGCGCCTGCCTCGCCCTGCTCGCCGTCTTCTTCGCGCTCGGGCTGGTGAGTGGCGTCCCCGGGATCCCCGGGGCCTGGCCGGAGCACGGCCCGGCCGGGGAAAAGTTTCCTTCTCGGAAGCCTTGCCCGAGAGAAAGTTGTCGGGGTGTGCACCGGGTGGACCCTGCTGCGCCCCGCTGGCGAACTCTGCCGCCCGCAGTCACGGCCCCGCGGGTCGGAACCGGCTCAGCCCGGGGCTTCCCGAGCGCGCAGGGCGCCTCCTGCATCCCTGGCCTCTGTCTGCCAGGGCCCCGAGCTCGCGGGGAAGTTTGGATCGGGTCTCTTGGAACTCTGTAAAAAGCCTGCCTGGAGAAAGTGGTTCATGGCCAGGAACCTGCAAAAGGATAGCACTGTGCGTCTTTGCCTCTAGGTAGATTGTGTGGAGCTCCGCGCGCAGAAAGTGATGGGGCTGGTACCCCAAACTACCAGGGGGAGGCAACGCTGGGAGGGGACCCTCGGGGCTCTGGGAGAGCCGGTTAGCTGGTGGACGGTTCCGCGCTGGGTTCTGGAGCGCGTTTCATCTCTGGGAGCATAATGCCTCTTAGCAGCTGAGGTCCGTTTTACCGGTGTATATTTTTCAAACAGAAAAATCCTCAGCTCGCCTCCGTGAGCAGAGAGGAAATCTGTAGATGGCAGTAACTTCCTGTTACTGGTGTCTCTCTCCTTGTGTGTGTGTGCTGCAAACTTTTGCGCCGCCCAGGGGTGTGCGTGTGAGGATTGTGTGCGAGCCCTGGGTGATCCAGCGGTGGTTGAGCTGGTAGTGGCGGCGATGGTTGACCAAGTGTTGATCGGGAAATATCCCCACCGGAATATAGTTAGCTTAGTGGATAAATACGAGCCTGTATTTATTTGCCTCCAAAAGCCAAGAAATGGATCTTGCCTAAATTTTACCAAGTGCCCAAAATAGCTCTCTTTGGTATTTGACAATTTGTTTTGGATATCCTGAACCAGATGGTGCTTCATATTATGCATGGGAAAATTGCACCATCTTTTTTTTTTTTAATAATGTTTTCTTTTCCCCCTACACTATTCAGCGGGTGCTGTCTTCTGATTGAATTCCATGAGGTAAGAAGAGAAAATCAATGTGGGAGGCCGTGTTGTCACCACCTGGTCCTAGCACCATAGCAAGCAGAGCAGACAGGACCTTCTGACCCTGCAGTCTCCACCTAAGGGCAGGAGGGCCTTGCCGCTCCCCTGCAGCCTGCCTGGAAGGTTCCTGGCATGGCATCTTTCTCTCTCTTTATTGCTTTTAGTACCAAAAGGGACTTGGAGAGAGATTTCTTCCAAGCCTCCTTGGCAAGGCATCTTTTTGTTCTTCATCTACTTGAGGGGAAGAAAACACGTCAGAGTTTTCCTTTGGAAATCTGTCCTGGCAGGACATTTCTGCATGTGATTCTCCTGAACCTGTAATTCAAACCATTCTGGCTTGTTCCCTTCTAACTGGGAAGAAGGAGCAGGTGATGGCCTATTTATAGCGCCGTTAATATAGTTAGGCAAGTGTGAAGTTCACATTCCCAATGTGCATTAGTTTCTTTTCTGTGATAGAGCACGCTCATTTCTTAAACTGCGGTGATGCAGATGTTCTCCAGTGACTCAGGGAGAGACTTAGCCATGTGGGTTTGAAGTGCCCAGGCTCTGATCCTTCTTTGTTCCTCGTGTTTGTGTTTCTTTACACAGTTCCCTCATGCTCCATTCCCCTTGGCGGGCTTGCCAGGGTGGGAGCCTTCCAGAGCTTCATCCAGTTGGCTCTGCCAGTGCTCGATGTGTCAGTCATCTCCACCTTTCCTTGCATTCAGCTGAATCATTTTGAGCCCAGAGTGGGCATTTCTCATACCAAGATTGTCACCAGGGTGAGGTCCACAGACAGTGAAATGGATCTTATTCTTGGTTTCACGCTTGCTATGTGACACCCTTAACAGCGATGGGCTCTGCGGAAGTGTTTTAGCGGGGATGAGTGTGCCTGGTGGAAAGGCCACTTTTAGGTGGAGACTGCAACCACGGGGCTGTGGAAGGTGGGCAGTGCCTGCGAGGAACAGGCACCGACTTGCAGAACTGCACCATAGGAGGGACTCAGGGTGCTGAGCTCAGACAGCCCATGGCCACACTGTTTTTAGTAACGCTATAGCCACGCTGCCATCCGAGACAGAGTGCTCCATCTGGGTCACCAGAGATGCCTGGGGTAGGAGGATCTGAAGATGGACAGCACATAGAATAGTGTTTGCACGGGTGAGGACAAGGTCCTGCCCCAGACAAAGCCCAGCGTGGCTCCTGTGAGGTCTCCCCCAGGACAGATGTGCGCTGGCTCCCTGGAGCCTGCCAGGTTTCCACTGTGGAGCACTTTTCTGGGATCACTCAGAAGCACAGCACATCTATTTTTTGCTGTCTGAAATCTTGGACAGATTCCTTCTTTCCCTTGAATCTGCCCAGTTTGATTTCCATTAGACTTTCATTAGTTCATGTAGTAGAAAATTCTGGCAGTTTCTTTACACACAGCCCCGGACATCAAGAGCTTTTAGATCACAGATGACCCCACCATAACCCGAGGACACAGATTTTTTTTTTTTTTTTTACTATGTGTAATTGCCTTTGTATGAGATGATTCAAAATAAAAATTAAAAAGGGAAAAAGCAAGCTTTGTTTTAATACTTCCCTACTTGACATTGTTCAAAAAATGATTTAATTTCAATCTCTCATCAATCTATGATTCTGATAAAGTGATTCACACAGCATTTTTATTACTCGGTAAAAACAAATCCAGAATTAAAACTTTTTCAGTTTTTGGTTAATTGATTATTTTCTACCCAAAAATCGACAAAATAGGTTTAATCACCTATTTGTTAAGACTTCTCTGATGCCATGAAACAAGGTGAATAGAACACATGGAGGTATCTCTGTAAGTTTCATGTCCTGCTCATGACATTCTTTCCTGTTGTTTATCATGAAATGTCTAATGAGAGTCTGAGTTATATGTTTCCAACATGAGCTCGTTGTGCAGCTACCAAGTGCCAGCACAGGACAGCCTAAGTGGGGTGAGCGGAGTAGGTCCTGCTCCAGCTGAGAAAATCAAAACCAGTGCGACCAGGCTGAGCTGGGGCTCTGACCATGCCGCTTTGCTTTTTGGCTGACTCTGCTTGCCGAATGCATGCAAACCCCTTTTTAGAAGGAAATCCTCTCATTTTTTTTTTTTATGTCCAAAGTGAGCCCATTTTTTCTCAAAATTTGCCTGTCATCGTTAGAAAAGGTTGATAGAGATTTTTTTATTTTGTCAAAATATCAGCTGGCTCCAGCCGGATTTGTTTTGGCTATAATTTATGATTAGGAATAGACAGTATTTAAGTTTGAATGGAAAAATTAAATTCCTATAAGATTTAAGTAAAATATTTCAATAAAATAGGTCTCTTTTTTGTTTTTAGCAAGATCCTGCAATATGGATATGCACTTTATTAAAATAGGTGATATATATACATCTGATTCATAATCTGTGGTGATACGGTACACCACATCATGATAACCATATGCACAAGTGCTTTTCATGATGAATCAATTTTATAGTATTGAGTATTTTGCTAAGAGCAAATAATCAGACTGTTTCTTTTATCTATACATAGCGAAATAATATTCTTAAATAAAAAGACCAAATCATTTGAAGAGAGAAGCCGGCCAATATTTCAGCACCCCCAGTAGGTGAAAGAGATCACTCTTTCTTGGTTTTCAGGAAGGCTGGCAAGGCAGATGATCTGCCCCTATGTCTAAAAGATAGGAGACTCTGTGTATTCCTGCCCTCGTCCCCACAATCTGGTGGTGGAACAGAGCGCGTCCCTGGGTACTGTAGCAAAGGTAGCCAAAGTTACATCTTTTTGTGCATTTCTATATTCAGGGAAATCTTCCTGTGCAGGTGTTTGTAATTTGCAACCAGTAATTCACTAAGTCATTTGAGTTGTAATTTACCTGTGGTATAAACAAAGGCCAAGGAAAAACTGTAATTTCTTCAGGAAAGCGGTTGCAATTTAGAGGACTAGCAAGAAAGAATTTGGAAGCATCCATTGGATATTAAAATGTGTGATTAAATGTATACATGGCAGTGTGCCCTCCCTTTATTAACGAGGTGGTAGAGGATAGCATCTACTATCCTCTTGCATAGGAGTTTTGGCTTTGTTCGTTTCAGCCTTTGATTCTATGATGGTTGGCAAAGCCTTCAACCTTTGTTCCAGTTTCCTGGTTTGATGGAGATTAGCAGCCCTTAGAACAGTGCCTGCCACTGAGTAAGCCCAGCACTGTTAGCTCTCAGCAGGTCTTCTGGAGTTGGGGTACCACTGGCACCACAAGAGACATGATAGCCACATTGCCATAGAAGCAGGAGGACACCATCTCTACAGATGAGGAAACTGAAATCCATAGAGGTAGACCATTTCTTCAGGGTCATGCAGCCATAGTGCTGCGGACAGGTCATGGGTCATTTCTTGGGCGACTTATCCGGACAACACTGCTAATCTGCTTGAAGATTCTACTGATAGGAACACCATAGTCTTCATTTTGCATAGAAGAACTACACATTATATTCTCCCTTTTTTCACTGATAAAGGAATTGAGGAAGATGGGTTCTTACCATCTCCTTATGGAATTGGTGGCATCATTTTAATATTCCTAGCCTCTTCCCTGTGGTTAGAGTACCTACCTGTGGTTTTGCTTTTATTTTCTGAAGTCCCTGGCATAAGCAATAAGAAATGCTGTGGTCATTTCTACTGGGATGTGATTCGTACTGATATTTCAAAATCATATATTCCATTAAAAATATAACACAGCCAGAGCTGTTACATTACTCTAGAAAACATGTTTGATGGTTGTGCTAATCACATTGGTAAACTGTGTTTATCAGAGATTATGTAAGAGGAGAGTCCATGGTAGATATTTGGGCATAGTCCCTGGATGTTCTGGTCTGCTATGTAACTTTGCGACAAGTCGTTGAACTTGACCCAGTCCTGAACACTTGCTGAGCACCTGCTGGA